TTCTTCTTCTTCTTCTTCTTCTTCTTCTTCTTCTTCTTCTTCTTCTTTTGCATCTCTTCATGTATAAAAGCAGCAGCTTGAAACCGCAGTTCTGAAAACCTGAAGCTTGAGCCATCTTCCTCCCTTTTCTCCTGAATGATAGTCCACAGTGAGGCAGCACCAGGACTCAGGAACTGAATTTGCTCTATAACAATAACTTCCAAGGGACTGGACTTGGATAATACATGTAGTCCTCAATTTACAACCATTTGTTTAGTGGCCGTTCAAAGTTACAACGGCGCTGAAAAAGCTGACTTATGACCGTTTTACACACTTACCACCATTGTGGCATCCCCTTGGTCACATGATCAAAATTCAGGCGCTTGGCAATTGGCTCATATTTATGATGGCTACAGTGTCCTGGGGTCATGTGACCACCTTCTGACAAGCAAAGTCAATAGGGTAACCAGGTTCACTTAATGACTTTATTATGAACTTAACAACTGCCGTGATTCACTGAACAATTGTGGCAAGAAAGGTCATAAAATGGGACAAACCACCTGTCCCAGCAACAGAAATGTTGGGCTCAATTTAAGTTGAAGACTATCTCTATGAGGAAACTTTAAAGGCTTTCCATGTGTTTATTTTTTTAAAAAATAAAATAGACTAAAATAGCAATTTTCACTAGGCAGAAGTTGTTCCCCTAACTCAAGGTGTTTTATAACCCATTGTTAATACATCAGGAGACTCAGCTGCACTTCACTGTTTATGCAGGCAGTCTGTTTCTTTGGAGGTATTTTTCACCCTTTTGTGGTTAGCTTGGCCATTTCAGTTCCATATAAAAACATATCATTATCTGCAATCATATCTCTCTATCTCTCTCCCTTTGCCTCGCACAAAAGCTTAGCTTCTTGGTCAATGAACTTCCAATGGCCTGTATCTGTGTATGTCTTACAACCAATATTTCTTCGCTAAACAACATAATCAGGCGCCACAATCATGCCAGAAACTTCCTTCAGAAATTAATCCTCTAAATCCTGGACGACTAGGAATGAAGCGAGATAACAAACAGAAGATGGTGAACGTGCCAATATATCTGCATTTTCTGGTTATGCAGGAAGGGGAAAAAAGGCGGTAAATAGAATCTTATGGTAGAAAGAAGTGGAAAACACTTACACAAGTAAGGATGATAAGTAACAAATAGAAGCTCCCAATAGAGCTCAGCAACATAAGTTCTGTGGTATATTTTTTGAGTTTCAGGTTTTTCGATTCCTCAGGACAGCCTGCAAGGCAAAACAATAATCTTTACATGATTAAAGTACTTTGAAAGTTCCAACTGCAAGGGGGGGGGGGGGAGGGATTGGCGTATCATACCTATTACTCTGAGTATAATTGTACTTTGGTTGTAGTTTCTGACTGGTGCCAGTAAGATACATTTATACGTTCCACTACTGAAGTGTGTAGCATGTTTAATCTTGAGAAAATGCCTGGTGCCATTAGAAATCTCTAAGGAGTCGTTAAATCCTCTTGAATATGCATGTTCTTTATTATATTCCATAGCCTTCAATCCTTTGTTGTTTTCATCAATCTATGAAATAATGATAAATTAACATAGAGAGTTTTGATTGCAACTACATGAAAGTATTTATATGCCAGTGCTAAATCATTATCACAGCTTTCCCATAAGTGTCTGGACTGCGATATCCAGCAAGCATCTAGAACAGGGGTCTCCATCCTTAGTGACTTTAAGCCTGGTGGACTTAAACTCCCAGATTTCACTTAAGATCCAAATTATCAGGACAAAGCCATTACGACACCATAGGAATTGCCCAACACCCTTTCAGAACACAAGGCTCTTCATTACATCATCACCTTCCAAGCTTCAACCAAACCTGGGAGCTCAGACAAACATGACCCCCACATGGCCCCATGGGAGTCTGACAACAGCCAATAGAATACATGTTCTTGCACAGGAACAGGAAGCTCAAGTGCAAAGCCCAAGAGAAGCCATATATATACTCCTCCCTCTCAACTCCATGCGTTCAGCTTCCCAGAACCCATGTGCTTGGTGGTTCTGCTACACCATTAAACCATCTTTCCAATCAGCTTCCATGTTTCCAGTGTCTTTCTCCCAGCTTGGAACTGAACCAGATGGACATTTCTTCCAAAGGATGCAAGGAGGGAAAGAGTCAAAGTGTTGCAAAAGAAAAACGTAGTTTTACTGTAATTTCGGCTGCCTCAGAGCTGAGCTGGAAATAAAAGACCCAACTTCCAACCTGTTGACATGGTAGAATCAGACAGACTCAAAAATTGCTTTCAAGTCACCACAGAATCCTGGTATGCAGCTGTTTATTGCTGCTAATGCAACTTTAAAGTGATGTTGTTGCTAATTATGTGAATGAGCAGCGGGCAAGAATAAGGGGCACCTGCCTGAAATGCTTGGTGCCTGTAGTGCTATTTCAGCTAAGTCTGGCTCCAATTTAATTAATATTTAATACATATTTTAATCTCTTCCATTTGGATAGTCCTGGTAGCAGAGTGGGGTGACTCAGATGAAGCAGGGCCAAAGAAGCCATGTTCGAACTAGACAAGTAAATTTTAAGATAGGAAGCCTTTCATAATGATTACATAATCTGTTTTACTAATCTGCTAAATCCAGTGTATACAGGAAAACAATATATAGAGGTAATATATGCAAACTGTACCTTCGTGAACAAATGATAGACCAAAAAAAATGACATAAGGCAATTGGTGTCTTTTCCAGCGATAATTCCTCGAAAGCATAAATGTAATAAACTTATTTTTCCTTTTAGGATAAATTCTTTCAGAGCTAATAACATTTGCATATGGGGACATCTAGTGGCAATGTCTTTGTTTGACAGGATGAATTATTTTTGCCTAGATTTTTTACAAGGAAATGCTTTTTTTTTTTTTTGCTTTTTATATACTGAAATTGTTAATTGGAAACTGTATTATATCCGCTCTTTCTGTATTATAACTTTTAGGTGCATTTTT